TTTAAAATTAGTATAGGCAATTGCTAGGTATTTAAAATGGGTGGGTAATTGCTAGGTATTTGAAATAGATGGGTAATTGCTAGGTATTTGAAATAGATGGGTAATTGCTAGGTATTTAAAATAGATGGGTAATTGTTATGTATTTAAAATAGATGGGTAATTGCTAGGTATTTAAAATAGATGGGTAATTGCTGAATGAGCTAGATGTTTAGAAAGTAGTTGTGCTGCTACCAGTCACATACATCAGGCAGGAAAATTCAACAACGAAATGTGTGCTAACCAGATGTACATGGCATGAGCGGCGAGAGTGTGAGGATACCAAATACACGCTCTTAGAACGAAAGTGTTGTATGTAAACCATATAGTGTATTGAGGCAAGGTGGACATGTAGTAGAGTGAGGCTGCGATTGTAAGCGCTCTAAATAAATTGGAAGGCTTGTTCGTGATGTACCTAGACAAAGGGGCGAGAGGGGAGGTCTGTTGGTATATTGTACACAGGAACTCCAGTCTCATGGTGTTGTAGAGTGCACATTAGGAGTGTCGATGGATAGGGAGATGTGAAGCTTTGAGTGTTATATACGATCACACTGCCGGGTGCTTGAATTCGCCCCTGCTGTGTCATGTGGATTGTTAAAACTCTAAAACCCTAATACCCTGAAGCCGGTTGTTGGACTGGCTCACGTGGTTATGCTGGTTGATGCTGTTTGACAGTATCTTCAGCACACTAGCGTAGCTGTCTCGCCCAGAATTGTTAAGAAATCTAGTCTAGTAAACGCCTTCTTCCCACATGCCGGGTAATTATTAAAGCTACCAAATGTATCTCGGCATTCGCATACTAGTGATGCTACAAACCCTAGTTACACCCGTTACGTCCTCCATACTAAGCTTGGCTTGCTTTTACTTCCCTGTTTATTGTCCAGGCCACACCCGATGCCCCAGGCATTCACGAATTGCACTGTCGCATGCACACGTTTGTGATGATGTTCATAGACGCCGCCAGTTTTGTCGACGCCACAGACGAAAGGTGGCGCTTCTACATGCTGTATGTTTGTGCGTTTTTGCAAATTGGCACACTGTTTTTGGTTTCTACGCATATTTTCGGAATATATTCACCCTTCCTTTCATACAAATTGGCATGTTGTTTTTGGTTTGTACACATATTCTCGGTTTTTATTCACACTTGCTTAGGGCATTGTAGGCTTATGTAGGGCTCGTCTCTTTTGTACTATTTGCTTTTGTACAGTTTGCTATTTGATCCACTAGTGTTGATATGGGAGGTTGCAGGCTTGGCGTAATAGTCTATCATATCCTCACAATAAAGGCTATTAATATCATAATATGATAAATTAGTTATACGATTAAGCAATACTATCAGATCAATGCAGGGCGTCACCAGACGTCTTTGGTTGCCTCATATTTCAGCCTAATAGCCCCCTCACACTTTTGCCTGCAGCTTTAAAACACAGACATCCTCCGATGGCACAACCAGTTACGAATTCGCGGGATTCTCGACGCTCTACAACTTCTACGCCTACCCCCACCACATCCGCCCACGTACCAGCCAGTTCCTGCTGTTGCCGTCATTTCAGCGTCAGGGCCATGGAGGTGTGTATTGAATATGTTTTGCTGTGTTGTGTTGTTGG